TTGTCTATCTGTTAGATTAGAACACAGCTCAGGAAATTTATTTAGCACTGCCCTCTGGCTCGCTTTTCTTTAGCCCAGTCACCTAATCTCGCGGTGCCTAATTTCCTTAGCTATGAAATGGAACTTTGAATGTGCTAAATGAATACTACTGATTAGGCAGGGAGAGCAAATGAAACAATTACCGCAGGAAACCAGCACATCAAGGAACACAAGGCCAGCCTTAGATTCCATGCTCGCCAAATCAATCCTAACTGCTCAGCTGTCATTGGATCTAGTTCCTTCACACCGATTTAGATCCATCTCTGTCCAGCACAGAACTGGGCTTCTCTCACTTTGGATGGCTGTGGGTGTCATTTACAGGCGAGATACCGAGCTAAGTATTCTAGAAAATAGATTGATCTAATCTAGCCCATCCATATTTGTACTCGCCTTGTCCTCCCCATTCTAGCTGAGCGCTGAACAGTGGGAACCGAAATAATCTTTTCCAGAACCCACAGCTTGCCAGCTTCTACGTGTCTGGATGAACTGATTCATCCTGAGCCCTCCTAAAACCAACCTCAATTCTCATCTTCAGAAATTAAAAACAGACATTTCTCAAACCGGGCAAACCAACTTGCCACTTACTTGATTCTTTGCCGGCATCCTTCTAAAGCAATACTGTGTAATGAATGACGGGCATGATGGTAATGCATATCATTAGTGCTATTTAGCATGCGAGTATCATTTATCAACTAATGGCTCTCAGAGGACTCCCAGCACTTTAAGATATATAGCGGCCGTGCAGTATACTCATCATAAGCTGCCTGATCGACACGACAGCATTGCGGTTTAATGGGACAACCGGTATCAGTAAAATGAGCAGGATTTGGCACGAAATACCATGGCCCAGATCTACCGGGTCACTTAGGTCCCTAACTTCTATTGATGTCAATGGAAATTAGGAGTTTAAATTAGGAGTTTAAAGCGCTCTCTGCCTTTTCTTTATAAATCAGAATGCACGTGCTATGGCGTCAGCAGCGCATTCTGAAGAAGTGGGATGGGGCACGGCTGGCAATAGCAGTGGTGAGTAGATCGTGTGGCCTGAGGACGGTGATCTAGACTCTCCGGTCTAACCCTCCTAGCCAGTAGGTGGGAGTCGCAAAGGTATTTAAGCGTCTACCTCCCAATTACCCTTGTGATTGAAATCGATATGCGCTCATTAAGTCATTTATTCCCCCTGCCAAGGCTGAAGTGTTTCCATTTACTTGATTCTTTGTCCAGAGTTCTAGAGAGCCACTTGAAATCTTGTCAATTACAACAAAGAGAACTCCAAGGAGTTGCGGGTACTGTGCTGCCGCTGAGTTTACAGGGCCCTTTCTTTAAAATGCGTTGTTCTCCCTTGTGCCGGCGCGATAGCACCCCACAAACAGCAGGGAAAAGTTACCCCAGCTTTTGTGTGGCAAAGACTTAGCTGTTTATACAAAGAGTACTGTCAAATGCACGAGGTAAACAACCAACAAGAAGCACAAACACATCTCTTTTCCCTGTTCTCTTTCAGTTCTACATGTCTTCGGGTCCTACTTTTTCTTTCAATGTATGTTCACACTGACCTGTCATTTGTAGGCTGACTGTATCCCTTTACAAGTGTTAACCTGTGTGCCCCCCATCTCTAGCGCCTCAGGACTGTGTAAAAGAACCGGTGGGTTTAGGCCCGGAGCCTGATTCATCCTCCATTGAAATGAATGTCAAAATTCCCATACATTTCGGCGGCCCAGTCTGTAGGTTTTCCAGCTCCTGTTGAATCAGTGGGACTATTGAAAAGTCTACAGCCTAGTCTATCAGATAAAGCTGCTGGATAGTATTCTCAGGGCATTACTCTCAAATTCACAATGTGAATCTCCCCTGGAACTTGAGAGAATGAAGACAAAAATCCAGAATTTTAACACAATCAACATGGTGTGGATCCCACGCCGGCCTTCAAACACTGCCTCTGCCTGGATCTTACTTTGGGGCAGATGTATTTTCCTGATTGCAACGTCGCCTTTCTTCTCAGTTCTATGTCCTTTGTGCAGGTCTGGTCCATTGAGTGTGTTATTAACCTGTTTGCTGTTGTCTCCACGACATCAATTAAAAACTAATAACTGAGACAATCATAATCCTATACCCACGCCCCCTTTTTAAGAAGCTACCTCCATATAATACCAGTACACAAGTCACATTCGGTAATGTGAAATCCAGGAAGTAAGGAGTAAAAACATGAGAGCAAAATGGAGACCGCGGAGAGAGCCAACATGCGGGAATGATCACAGAATGTATATTTTCCCTGAAACTCCGGATAGTCCATCCAACTCAACCTCGTCAGAAAAGCCGTCTTGGAAAATCTCCCGTCAGCCTATGGAAAGTAGGGCTGCCACTGAGCCTCAAACCTTGCCAAGCTAAAATACCTGACAAATCCATCCGGAAGGAAGGAAAGAGAAAAGCCCAGACTATTTACAAATTCCTACGTTCACACTCAAAAGCCAGGAACGTTGTCCTATGATCACGCTGGGCAATTAGAAAGTCAATCTTGCTCTTCAGGGCACTGCCATGCGTTGGTGGCCCGAGTTCCCATAAATATCAGCAATGCCACCTTACAGCAAGGCTGCCAGTCAGCTCCGAGAACTCCTCGGGCTAAAGAGACTCACCACAGTGTGTGTTTGTTTGTCCAGCTCATTCAACAACTGCCATTCGTTGGCTGGTTAAGATTTCCAGAATTCAGCCTGGAATAGACTCTAAAAGGGGAGGCAGGAAACCGCCCCGAGACGAAGCCTTCCCTCTCGCTTCGTGCTCCATTCCCTTCCAAGGGGTTCATCCTGGCCCATTCCTCTCAGCTGCTGCAAAGGACTCCTTCAGCTGCACTGTCCCGTTACGCGTGCGTCTTGGCAGCGCACCCTTGGAAACGTGAGACTTGCTGAGCTTGTGTGTTACTTAGCCTGGACTAATACAAGCATCATCGTTCCTAGGCCGCCTAATGGATGTCAGTGCAGTTGCCAGGAGGGGCTCGCAGTGAAGGGGAGCTGAGGGGCTCATAACACGGAAACTGAATGAGCAAGACTTTCCCGGGCAGCTACTGTGAAGTTTTTAATGGCGAGAGCTGGGTGATTTGCTGCTTGGGGGGAAATGTAATGTCCAACTATACAATATTAATGCGGCTCTCACAACCAAGGGAAAACTTTCGTGGGAAGGTGGCGATTTATTTTCTTAGAGCAAAACAGCAGCATCAGCCTTTGCACGTGTGGAATTTCACATGGAACAATTCTCTATCTGTGGGCAGGGCTCGTTTACAGGACAGAGGCACACATGAGCTACAGGACCTGCTCCTTTAGACTTAACGCAACCAAACCCCGGGGCGGGGGGGGGGGGGGTCTAAAGGGAGGTTTGCCTAAATGTAAGCTGCAGGATCAGGCCATTCATTTTATCCGGAGCGTCGTTGTCTTCACTTTTTACCATCTAGCCCGCTGTGCAGAGGTCGCCGAGGGAAGACTTCAAAGAGGAATTCCTTGTCCCCTCACTAGGGATGAATGAGCAGCTGCTAATGTACAACCTGGAGATTCAAGTCCATTATTTCGCTGTAGCGGAAATCAAGAAAAATAAAGACTGATGCTGGGGTGGCAGAAGCTGGGAAGAATCACAAGCCGGATGCCTGGATTTAAGGGGGGAGGGAACGCTTCTATTCTCCTTCTGCATCAAAATCTGATACTAACTACCAGGCTAAAGAGTGGGATGGAAAGGGGAGAGAAAGCGAGCAGAGAAACAGTTAAAAAGCTGCAGGGGAAAGCAATAAAGTGCATGTCATAAAGACAGGAGTGTGGTGTCTCTCTCCCCCTCCCCCCATTACCACAGAGAGACAGAACGGTGTGGTGCAAATTATAACTCAAAGTGAAAACAACCCAACCGCCTTCCATCATGAGCCCTTCTTCATAAATCTCAATTGTTCCGTTCTGTGGCTCCTAGCCAGCGGCTGCTGATGCCAGGAATCTGGATGGGTTCATAATGAAGTGCTTGTGGCAGCTTTTCCCTATACCACAGGGTGAAAAACAGCCCGCTTCTTTGTCTCTCTCCGGCTAGGGATGTTCATCATTTCTAGAACACGTGGTGGGGAGGGAAGGAAGAGCCGGGATACAGCGGTCACTCGCTTGCTCTGGAAAGTGGAAATTCTCAGCAGAAAACTGCAACACCGCGGCCAACGGGACAGATTTCTGCCCCTATTCCAGCCAAATGTGATCCGTGCGATTTCTAAAGGTCGGTCTAGACCACTGTGTCTTGGGCCTTCCTCTCTGTTATAGAATACCTGTCCAGAAGCGCTGGCCTGGGTACAATTAATAGACGCTGGCCCTAGAACCCAAACTGCAAGGGGGAAGAAAGACAAGTTTAGTTCTCTGTACCTCCCGAGAAAATAAATCCTGGTTCTGTCAGGGTAATTGATTCGTTTTATTTGAAAATAAAAGACTTACAGATCTCTCACTCAAATTCAGAATGCAAATTGACCGTCTGTCTAAACTATTTATCCGCCCCTTCAGTTTTACTTGGCAGGAACTCTGACATACAAACGTCCTCTCCTCACAAGGAGAAGGTACATTTGACAGCTATAGTAAAGACTTCCATAAAAACAATAAAACTGAAAATAAGCAAGTAGCCTGGACTTTAGGAAGGTTTTACCGAGTCCCACCGCTCTATGAAACTATTACCAAGACAAAAAACTATGAATAAATTGTTGCTTATTATGCTAGTATTAATTTTCCCCCTAGGAGCTAATTAAATTCCTTTCTGGAACTCAAGGCTGAAAACATCAACAACAAAAAGCCAAAGATTTTAACTGTGTAACGGCCAAGCCCATATCAGCTCGTCCTTAAGAAAGATCTTTTTATATTTAGAGCATAACCTGCTTTAATATTATTAATTAATTAATTAATTAATTAATATTATATCCAGTATCTGCACCCTCTCATCAGGGAATCAAACTGACTTAAATAGTCCTCCAGTCAAAAAAAGTCCATTTGTTTATTACACTGGTTTATTTCACATTAGGTTTCCATACAATCAAAATCCTTTACGTACCTTTTTAATAAAAGTAGTATTCTCTTTGAGTACTTCAAAATTATAGCATTTACATATTTCAAAGACTGTAAACAAAATAATACTAGCAAATAAATAATACTAGCCTTGAAGTATACATTGTAAGATTTTTAGACGGCTGTATAAAATGAGATTTGATTTATAGAATATAATACAGACAATGGTATAAACAATATAGATCTACGATTGTGTGGGCGATTTCTCAGCCATAGCTTAGTTTGGTTTGCATGTTTCTCATATTTGGGGTACTTTATCACTAGGGAAATCTGAACCTCAGAGTTTAAATTGAGTTTGGTTGATGACGATCAGATGAAATTAATTATTTTAACCCAATTTGAAACAGTGCGCAACACAACCAGGATACAGCGCTAGAGGCGGCGGAAAAAGGCGCGAGTAACAGTTGCAAAGGGGGGAAAATATAACAAGGCAAGCTAGCTTCAAAATTACATTTTGTTTCACTTATTGTCCAGCTCATCACTATTACAACTGTTTGCTCCTGCAGCTTCCTAAACTTTTTGTAAGCCTGATACGAGGCTAATATTCCCATTGAGAAAACTTATTTTCTGTTTAAGAATAATAAAAGTCCCATTTAAACTTTATTGAATTAAAGCAAAAATTAATTTTTGATATTCACACCTATATTACAGAATAATAGTAAAAGTTCGATATACTTCCTGGAGTTTAGTTGGGCCACATTTTACAAGAGCTAAACAAGCATCAAAACATTTAGCAGCCTTATATTCCACAATCACTCAGAATTACATAGAAATATTGAAATACTCTAGTCAGCCTTGACTGTGAATAGTTCTTCATGTATAAATTTCTCTCTCTTTTAAACTTTTGCCAGCCAGTACACAGCAAGATTTGCATTTTCTCTCTCATCGAGGCATCTCTGTACTCAAAAATACTTTGCCTTTCTAAAGTTAAACTCAGATAAAGAGTCAAGAATAACATGTTTTAAAAACAAAACTACAAAATATGAAGAGCAGTGTAAATACTGGAGGTATCATAGTATGATACGGGAATCATTGGGAGATATGATGGCAAATTACACCAGTGATACACAGATTTTAACTAATTTGGGAGGAGAGGAATAAATGGAGATATGATCAATTATAGTATTTCCTATATGTTGGCTGCAACAACAAAAATAATTCTTCAAAGCAGATGTACACAAACCTAAGCAGGATTTAGCTTCTTTAATATTTGAATGTAAAAAGTTTGCTGTCCAAGGCTTTACATACCCAGCTACAATTTGGGAATTTGTAAGAAATTCTGACTTGCTGCTTTCTCTCTGTTCAGATAATAAGTTATTTAAAGAGGGAACACCAGAAATCCAGAGAACGTTGAATACTTCCAGCCTCCCATCAAGTTTCCTCTCTCCAGTTTTAGATAAGCTCTGTCTCCTTTCTCCATTTGAATCAGGACTCCATTGCTGGCAGCTTCTCGGGTCACATCTTGATCCCCTGCAAAGGCAGAAATCACTGGCCACCCATTTAGCATCAAACTCACCTGTAGAGCAAGATAAAACAAAGCCCTCTGTAAATTAAAATCAGACAGGAGTAACATCCAGGGCTTCATAACTGCTTCCAGGCTCACCTAACAGGCAAAATGGTCACTTTATTATTTATGTCACGAGAAACTCTAGGTTATTCTAAAAATGAAATGTAAATCTAATATCAGCTAAAATACAAAGTCTAAAAATGGGGGATCCAGTATTGCTGCTTTGGATTGACAGTTCACACCAAACGCACGATATATCTAAATAGGACATCGATCCTGTTTTGAACAATTTCAGTAGGATGCCTTTGCTTTAAGGGTATGAAGAGGTGCCCACTTATTAAAAGATGGCTTTATAATGAAACCTCTAACAAGATGAAGAGAAGTGCCACTGCAGCAACAGTCAGTGTCTTTGAAGTGTATTCAGGAAGTAGTTTCCCTTTGTTAGGCAGCAAAAACTATGTACCACTACAGAGTCAATATCACGGTACACCTCCCGTTAATAATACCAGCACTGTATGCTTCCCATTAATAATGTACTACATGCCTAATCTGGTCGTGCATAGCAAATTACACCGTGTGTATATTCACACATACACACACAGTAATTTGCCCTCTCTCTCTCGTAATTTGCTATTTAGATGATATAACCTGGTATTCGGCAGGTAATGTAGAATAACTCTATATATGCCATTTACAATACAGACACGTTCAGCCACGGATCTGCTGTATCAAGATGAGATGCTTTAGTCCCTAGTCTTGCACATTATCAGTTAAACCGTGTACAATTGCCAAATGTTAAAAAATCTCTGCTCTCTGCACCTCGCCCAACCAGAGTGATACTGGTTAACAATAACTATGATATCATTTCCATCTCTTTTCAGACTTTTATAATGTGGATGAAAGAGAAATCACATTTAGTGGATCTACCCAGGTTTTCCTGGAGATTAGTGCTGATATACTGGAATCAGCGATCGCTGGCAGGTCTTGCGTTACACGGACAGCGGGAATGGGAAACGTATTAATTGCTTGCACGCAGTAAACGCTCATTTTGGGTGGTTCATTTGTCACCGATATAAAGACTCGGCCATCCTAGGACACGCAATGAACCAAAGGGGAGCATGGAAAGGCCCTAGATGGTTCGAGCAGATTTCAAGATTCTCCCCTATTTGAAAATATTGCTAGGGAAAATTCAGCACTTTCTGCTTAAAACTCAGCCTCCCAAGCTCATGGTATAAACATCAGTATATTTCCACACAATAGAAACGCTCCCAAATAGCCATTTCGGTTTAAAGAAACACCCTCTAGCCTCGTGAATTCCCTCTCTCCGAATTTTCTCGGGTTACTGACCTGAAAACGGTTCATACCTGACGCTGCCCCAGAAAAAGTCCCACCAGATACATTCACCACCGCTCTCTCAACCACTTTGTTTCTCCCCCCTAGAAGTTTGGGGCCCTTTGGAGCTGGGCACCAGCGCCCCTAACCCAAAACAAAACGCCCAAGGAGCCAAGGCAGAGAAGAGTCTGACCTGGATCGTTTGCCTGTTGTACACTTTCACCACGTGAAAATTAAAACTGTAAATCCCTTTCCTGGGCGATATAAAAGTGCTTCTTTCCGAGTCGAAGTTGCTTCCGATATTCACTAGCACCTGCAGTGGAAACGGGGACATCAGCATCGCGGGGGGGGGGGGGGGGCGGGGGCACCCGCGCGGGTGGTG